CTGTGTGCAATGAGGGCGGACTGTCGGAGCTGACCTCATCTTACATAATCTATCGATTTGAGTGCACCTGTGCTGCAACATATATAGGTCGAACAGCTCACCAGTTGTCACGTCGCATGAAGGAACATAATCCTCAATGGTTTTGCGAACGGAGGCACTGGAGTTTTGGCAAGCGGGATTCTCTCGCACCTATTCAAATCAGGTCATAGGGTTATCTTTCCGAACGCATTTACTGTGGTTTACCAGGTCCCCTTGAACAAATCGAAAGGTTTGCGAATGCTCGCCACAGCAGAAGCTATTCCGATCCGAATATCCGAACCTCCGCTATTCTCGCAAAAGAAGTTTGTTCAGTCGCTAAATCTGCTGTGGCCGAACAGCGGTCAACCTAACCGTCACCATGACACTGGCGTCGTCAGTGTAACTACGTAATAGCTATCGATCTGTGTGTAAGACAGCGACCAACTGTCTGCTGTCTAACCATTGACGTACATCTGAAACAAGCACCGTGAATTTACCATCGCAGTTTAATCAGATTATTTGTACCGGCCCGTAGATGAAGCACTGAATGCAATTGCTTACCTCAGACTGATGTTCTTGATGGATCACTGGGAATGTTCTACATTTATAAATGACGGTTGGATGATGCAGTCATCCATTTGCATTTGCCACTTTGCATTATCTCCATCCAACGGCTGGAATGAATAGCTCGGTTTCGTCGCAATCAGCCGACAATTCCGATAAGTCAACCACCTTTCCGGAAAGTCACCAGACGGCCATTTCGTCCTATTGGAGCTCGTCAGTGGTGCGCATCCTTCGGTCCTCTACGGAGGATCGAACCCATGACTGCTAGTGGCTTGCGCCAACTGGCCCGCTGCTTATGCAACTGAGCCATGGGAGGACGGCAGTCGACCATCACGAATTGTTAGCTAACTGCGATATAGCCCGACCCATCCTCCACTGTTATGCAGATGACAACGGTTGGCCTTCTGGCGTCAGGATGGGTCGGGCTATATCGCAGTTAGCTAACAATTCGTGATGGTCGGCTACCGTCCTCCATGGCGCAGTTGCATAAGCAGCGGGCCAGTTGGCGCAAGCCACTAGCAGTCATGGGTTCGATCCTCCGTAGAGGACCGAAGTATGCGCACCACTGACGAGCCCCAATAGGGCGAAACGGCCGCCTGGTGCTCTTCCGGATAGGTAGTTGACTTATCCGAATTGTCGGCTGATTGCGACGAACAACAGAAATACTCACCAAAATCCTTCTACTCATAAGCTCGGTTTCATTTGCTATTATATATGGATGCTGTGAGACTATGCGTATAGCAGTATGACAAACGAGAAGTCCTTCCTTGCAAAGCACAAACTGTTTATTATGATATTTTCGATAACCCCATCAAATAACCCAATGGGACTTGTAATGCAGTGTTTCTTAACCCGCATAAATTCATTGTTATGATGGTGATACTCCAACCATCCGCGATCTTTGCTTGATTTAAGCAGAATGTGTACAACTCCGCCAGAGGCTGGACTAGGGATTCAGCGCACTGCTTGAGGACGACGAGAGACAACCTGTCAGGTCCGTATGCCTTGTTTGAGTGCGGCTAGGTTAGCTTCTTGTGCAGTGATGCAATGTCGATAGAAAGCACCCAAAAGTGCAGCTGATGAGTCACCACTGATGCAGCAGAAGTTACGATTTTATGCTTCGGCGTCCACATCAGAATTTGTGCTTGGAAGGGTGACTCTACCGAGTTGTTTCACCATCCGCCAAACCTCATGACATCTGTTTCCTAAGTGTCTGGACATAGACATGATTGGGGTGGTGCAGTTGTTCCTTCCCTAACACACGACCTTTACTTTTAAAACATCATTCCTGGAGCCTACGAAGATGCATGAGATGGGGTGAGGAAAAACGATGGACGGGGATGAAAATAGTTTATCAGACCGCATAGATGATAACAGAAGTTTAGATAACTTGTCAGTTGATCACAGTATGTTGACATAACTGTGTAGAAAAATAAACGAGTCTGTGGAAGTAACCATTTCTCGCAGTCGCGCTGTATTTGAAGGAGTGAATTGTCTCCATTTCCACCTATGATTATCGCAACGAGTTGCATCTTTGCTGTTTGTCTTTGGTGTACACAACAGGGGATAGCTTGAGTATAGAATGATCTGAACTGCTAAGTAGTGATGGACTATAGACCGAAAATATCCCCGGGTTATTGACAAATACTAAATCCAGGGTTTCTTCTAACCTGGTGGGACATTTCACAAAACTCTCTAGCCCGTGAGTTGCAAGAAATGTAATGTAGTATGTTAAAATCACCGGCAAAGATGCACTGAGAGTGGTCCATATTCCCAGGAACAGCAGCCGTAAAATCTTTGTAAGATTTGTTAGCCTCTGAGATGGGACAAGTGGGGATATATAGATACTGGTTAGTAAAATTAAACGGTACTCATTCAGAGACTTCGGCTTAGACTTTAGGACCAAGAAGTCCATATGTTGTGACGAGTAGCAGAAGGATTTTAACTGAGAAACACCAAAAAGCGTTAATAAAGGTTTTGACACTGTCGCCACAATTTCAGCAGGTGCATGGGCGATCACCAGGAAACCAAATAAAACAGTCAATTGCAAAAACGGCACCTTCAACATCCTTATGGAGCCATGTCTCTTGCAGCATAATGATCCCTATTTTTGCATGTTCACGGCAGTTAACAATACTTTAGAGGACCTGCATTTTCAGCAGGGACGAATGGACATTGGCGATCAGGAAAGTGAGTATGCTCATGCTTGTTAAGTATTTCTCAGCGCAACTTTCCATCCCGCACAATGCTTTTTATGGATTTATTCTGCATTTTGCAGATTCCTCATACTTCAATCTTGATAGATCGATTATGGTTGTTTATTTGCGCGGAAACACAAAGAGTTCAGAGTATCGCGGGTATAGGTTATCCTGGTGCTGACTAGAAAAAAATGTAAGTAAAACTACGGGTTTTTAGGAAGTATCGTCGAAAGCGGGTGTCAGTAATTCCTTGAAAGAGGAAAATGTAGGGCATGGTCAAATTTGTAGGCCCCACCAAAAAATCGAGAATAATCCTGTAGCTCACCGAAAGTTTGGTGGCGCTACGTAGAAAGCACTTCTGTGATGATAAAAAAGAGATAATAAGAAGGACTTGCCAAACCATATAAAGTAAATTAGGAGAAAATAAACTTCGCTGTGAACCTGGAGTAGTGCAGTGGCACAATACCGTTCCTCGACTGTTTAGTTCGTGGGACTAGAGGGAATTAGCCACACAAAAACAAAACCGTAAGCCAACCGTTACGGATGATATACCTCATTATACTTTGGGCCATCCAAAGCAAGTTAACGCGGGGATGGCTTTATCGCTGCTTCCCAAGGCACAGACCCTGTGTACAACGGAAGAAGGGCTGCACAGAAAGAGGTGATGAGCATACTACTATACAGTGGTTCTCTGCAAAGTCTAGTGAAACGTCAGCTTCAAAAAGTATTAAACCTACATACAAGGTCCACAAGCCAGTAGGTAGTAACGGTTGGAATTCTTTACAAAGAAGGAACCTCGGAAGCAATTCGCAGAGTATTGAACAAGGAGTGTATAAGGGTTACCTTCCAGCGTGGCTACACCTTACATTCAACGCTGGTGCGCTTAGAGCCAACTTTCGCACAGTTAAGATGGCTAACTGTGTGTACAAAATTAACTGCAAAGATTGTGTACACATAAATTGGTCAAACAACGATAGAGTTACGGACGCGGATCTTGGGACACAAAAGTCGCATTTTACGACCACCGATGAATAAGCTCTAATACATAGCTCTGTTAAGATTCTATCGTAGCCTTGCATGTGTTGGACACCGGGCATCAGATCGATCTGAATAATGTCCAGATCATTAGGAAAGGTAGGAAGGAAGGTATTAGATTTTGAGACATCTCATTGGTTTGTAGAGAGCAGAAAGTAAATCCTTTGTCAGCCCCATCATTTCGCGCTCACTGCAGGAATCACGTGAGCTGATGCGGTAATGTTCCAAGGAGCAATGCTTGTGCAGTCGCTTGAAACATTCCACTGCTTGTGCAGCTTAGGTAAACTGTTCCAGTCATTCGCCACACCAGTTGACAGTGACATTAGAGTGAACCCAAAGCCTGCTAGGTTTAAACGGCTTTATACCATGGCCTCATGTCGAACTTTCCGCATAAAGACGGATAAACTATTGTACCTCATTCCCTATCTCACCTGAGAGAATACGTCACGTGTAAATCAAGTCACCAAAATGACGACGATACCCTTGGGAGAAGAAGTTCATGGTTTGAAGGAGATGAGAGCAAAGACAGGTTCCGGAGTGTCGTGACGGTTATGATCCCCGCCGCTGAATCTTCTCTTTGAGCATGCATTCGGTTTTCGTGAAAGGATAGGATACTGGCAATCCATACCCAAGAATTGGTCGAACATGAGAGCTGAACAGAAGTCGGGCTATGTCTGCAGTCATTTGAAAAAACAATCGCCTTATAGAAAAGAACATCCTGTTGGCAGTGGCAAGTTCCTTTTCAGTGTCCTAAGAAATATACAACTATCGTCCTCACGTATGAACGGCGATGGATAGGGTTTCTGCCCAGTAACCCTGCCAGTCAGCAACCTTAAGGATCACAAACCTGCCTTGTAATCCGAGAGTGCGAGTTGGGGCCTGCGTAGATACCAGGAGACCCTTGCAGTATCCTTAGCCCACGTGCGACTGGCGGTGGTTGCGGGGCAGCGAAGCATCGGCACCGCTGATGCCATAGCCATTTTTGCCACGCTGCGTCATCTCCGCTTGACAATCCATCAGCCATTTGCAAGAACGGACAATAAACAGAATCGCCAAATAAAGTGTGAGTCAGAGATATGGGAATGGGTGTGAGCGCCGGTGATGCTATGACTGTGCCCCATTTGACAAGGCAACTAGCCATTGCGCTTCCAATGTCGAGCAAAGTACATTCTATTACAATGAAAGGCGGATAGCACAGTAAATCGCTACGTGCTTCACGTTCTCAATTAAGAGTGAAAGAACGAGGCGACACTGAGTTTGTAGAAGCTATCAGCGTTGCGGAGGTTCAAGGTGGACCCCTGAATACAAAACAAGACCGGAAGATGAGCAAGATGATCGAGAGATGGATCAACGAAGAAAGCTATGCTTGTTAGTTCACGATGGATGGAATTACATGGACCGTCGAATATAAGCAAAGATACAGCAATCGAAAACATGTTGTAACACACAAAATTCCGAATTTAGTCACAATATTCAGTCACTCATATTTTACAGCAAGAAATCAGAAGGTGAATTAGGCCTTCGCTCAGTTAAGCTTTTTCCGGCTCGGAATCGCAGCTTCCAAGCTATCCGACCAAGTAGAAGTGCCAGCTATGACGGGAGCCAAAGCTTTGAACACCTCGAATGTGCTTAGCACACGACGACAATTCATTCGTATTCCACTTTCGCTTATAGGCAACCGAGCAGTTCGGTAGCCACGACGTGTGGCCTGCTCATAGCAATATCCTGGGCGGTGATTGTGGTCCACGAGGCCACCAATTACAAAGATGTCATTCAGTGATATTGGTAGATCAACTCCTAAGGACGGATCGGGAGTGGATGAGGGAAAACAATCGGGAAGAATGTGAGGGGACTCGGCGCAAAGATAAACAATTGATTTTTGATCAAAAACGTTGTAAAAATCGTCCTGAAAAAGAAAAGAAACGATTTATAAGACATGAGATTATCTAGTCGGGAGGCAGTGAAATTCAGTGACAAAAAAAGGATGAACTTAGACAAAGTAATATAAAGAAATCCACGATCCGTGAAAACATGGGAGTCGCTCAAAAGTGGCAAAAGTTCCTCCATTATTTGGATGTCCTCATCAGCCGCAGAAAAAGCGGACAGGTTAGAAGGGCCGATTAGAGAAAAGCCATGTGGTCCGGCCAGTACCTGCGTTTTTCCAGCTTAACACCAGACGAATATGTTCGACCGATTACCTGACAGACGGACTGGAACTAATTGCTAGTACATCAATTGTAAATAGGTTCATCGAAGAGCATAGACAAATCAGCCGAACTAAAAAGCCAGTGCCTACCCTGCGTAAAAAGAACATATTCTTAGAGCTCCCCTTTAAGGGTAACATTGCCACAATGAGGGCTACCAGGCTGCTAATCGTTGCCACATGAAGTACCTGTGCTGCCGAAGTCAACATTATCGACTGAACCCACATGATGCCGCTGCCTCCACTGAGGGGAACTCACCCCAATGGGGCTAACTCCCATTGCATATACTAACTGGCATGCAACTGCGGAGCCAGTTACATACGCAGAACAGATAAGACCTTGAGTACCCGGGTGAAGGATCACATTCCGAGGTGACTCAAACACGAGCCAGCTCAACAGGCAAGTCCAGCTCAGGCTACGCATTTACACAGGCCGCCGGCATCTTTGTTCGGCAGTCATTTATTGATCCCAGGTCACCGGATCGAAATAAGCATGTCGTTCAAAGTTCTGCTGTGGCATACCAATTCCCGTGTCCTCCGCTTCGCCGAGGCTGTTACAACAAACCGGATCTAACCGGAGCTTTGTGTGCAAAAGCAACTATTAGTTAGTCTCAGGTTGCCTTGGACGTAGGGACGTGATTTTCATGTTTTCTTTCGTTTGGTTGTATGTTTGTATCAGTTGGCAGTTGTAGTTCTTTCCTAGCTGTCGTTTTGGCACCGAAGGGACGGTACCAAATGCATGTATCTGCCGATCTTTAGGTTCTCACTGTGATTTTCAAAAGCAGATTTGTTGACTGCGATTGTAATGCTCAGTCCCCACATCCCGGTAACTTTGGAGTACCAATGATGCAGTAGAAATGGATGAAATCAAGTGGCCAAACGAGGCAAGTAACTCGACGTAATAAGTAAAGATTTTGCAAAAACATTCACGAGGTATAGGTGAGAAGTGTGGAAAATTGGGAGACCAAAGGTGTTGATACCTTTTTTCTCAAGCATGCGATCATTGCATTCAAAAAACTGCGCATACGACCTTGATATGCGCCAGCTCGTGAGAAATTTTTCGGCTTTGAGCCTCGGTATACGACCGATAGCAAGATGATGAAACAGCTGAAATACCAACAGTAAGTTGTGGCGGTTTGCCAGACGGCGTAGTGGACTGCAGGAGTGTGTCAGAAGAAGCTGACATTCAAATCTCAGCATTATCAATCCGGCTGTACAAAGAGAGAGGTGTGGTGCTTTACAGACAGTCAAAGATGGTCGGGCTCTGAAGGCAGTGGAGGTGCGGAGATTGGAACTAGTTGTGTAACATATGTTACGTTGGTAAACCTGGTCATTTATGGTTGCATTGAGGTTGAGTTCAAGTGAGATCACCCAGTGGCAACATAGTCCTACATTGAATTGAGGAATAACTATCTATGGTTAATTTGAAAATAAATTCATATGATGAAGAACAGGCTAATCTGAGCACTGAGGATGGTCGCGTTGGGCTGAATGGATAGTACCTCTCAAAACGTGTTACTGAAGGAGGAGCAGAAACGCTGACTATTAAATGGAAGAAAAATCCTCTGACTCGTCACTAGATGGCAAACAAGGTGTCATTAGATGTTAAAGTTACAATCCACGGGAGATAACATGAGGTGGCAGTTAAAATCGGGATGATATAGATCTACAGTAGATGCGTCATCACTAGACCACAAGATGACAGTCACAGTTCGGCGGTATTTGCTATGGGTGTACATATTTCGATACATTCCTTATTGAGCAAGGTTTACTCTGAAGCGAACTATAAGTGTCAGCTTCGCCATACTTAGAGAACTAAGCAAGAACGAAGCCGGCCGTGGAGTATGGTGTTGCCAACAAACAACGCACAGCGGTCTCATTGGTTGCGGCTGACTTAAAAGTAAACCGTATCTCAAGATTTCAGTGCGTATGGCAGTCCAAAAACCAAAGGGGGTTCTACAAAACCCAACACAGAGTATAGTGCATTTTCCCTAAACGGCAGGTATCAGGACAAGCCTCTGAAGGCGATCCAACTAACACTGCGGATCAGCAACAAACGAGATGAGTGGATGGAACTGTGAGTGGTGCAGTGTAAGCCACCCATGGTCTCTCGGTAGGCGCAGGCGTCCTGTGGCTGTCGCTATGGAGACAACAGTGACAGGCAAATTCGGGCATGGAAGACGCCACCTAGTGCGGGCAAACCGTTCCATTACGCTTCACTGGCTGTGTTTTGCGTCATAAAATAATGGTGGATTGAAATCTGAGAGAAATAATCAGCAATTCAGAGAGGAGTGCCCCGCACTATGATCAGTACCAAGTAGCTCATCTGCAAACTCAACAGAAACAAGAAACCATTGCAGTAAAAACGTTTCGGCCAAAATGACAATATCCGACCCTAGAACAATCTGCCGTGACCTTGTGAGGGTACCGGCTGGAACGAGTGTATCATCCATCTCGATGATGATAACTAGACAGAAAGGACAGCAAACCGTAATCCGGTTGTGCAAGAGGACTCTCCGTGAGGGCAAGGGCAAATCAAGATCATGTAACCGGTTAAGAAAGTCAGATTACATAAGCACTAAGACCAAAGAGCACACAGCTTACGTCAACGAGATGGATGTCCCAGTGATCGCTGCCAACCAGTAACAATCGATCTATCAGATGCACACTGGAATCATTTGTCGATCTAGTGGAGCCACTTGGATTGAGACCCGTAACGTACAGTTGAACCGGAATGGTGGAACGACGATTGAAAGCGTAACAACTGGATATCTGAACAATAGGAAAGGAAATATTAGGAAAAGTGAGAAGAACGGTGGTAGGATAGAACCAGCAAACGAAGTATATCCAAGCGAGAGAATTTCAAAAACGACCCAAAAATAAGCAGAGTAGAGAAAAAGAGAGGATTGAAATAAACAAAATGGGATGCTTCACAGATGCTAAGATCACTGTAATACGAGCTTCATAGCCTCTCGGGAAACAATAACCAAAAACTTGTAAAGGTGAACGAAGGAGACCAAAGGTTGCGAGAAAATGACGAAAACTCCAAAGAGTGAATGCAGAAAGGTTTGAAAACAACCGGTTGGTATAGTTTGTGGGCAACGTTTCGCTTTTAACACAACAGCTTCGTCAGCCGAGTGAACCAGTTGAGGACTGGCAAAGTATCTATAGCGAACTGGGATAATAATCGCGACGAATGAGATGTAGACAGAAGGTCAATCACGTTACAGATGAACGCAGCACACCAAATAGTGCATGACACGGTCACAAGTGATCTGACTTACAAGGTCACACAAGTAAGCCCTATTAACGATGAGTGCAGGGATGATGTGGTGGTCATTCTCTGCCCTGGATCCATCCGCCAGCACTCCTCAGCCTGATGGGGTCAAGACAGCTCGCCACTCGCTCGAAAGCTCTATCCCGCCCATTCTATTCCCACAGCTGTACACCTAGCTAATTTTAACCGCTTCAGCAGTCAGTCGCCTCTGGGGAGTTAATCGCAATCACTTTCTAACCATTTCGACGCTATCCAAGTCGATCTCATGACCTGCATCTAGCGCGTGCATCGCTACTGCAGAATACCTTAGTAGAGCCACATATTCAAGCGCGCTTCTCGATGACTGTGTTATGTGTCTCTGGTGTTCTGTTATCCATGTGCATAGCTCTCCTGCGGTTTGGCCGATGTACACGTGTGCGCAGACTTTGCAAACAATTTTGTAGACGCAATCGATTGTCATAACTGCGGGAAGTGGGTCTTCCAAGTGCACCAATGTAGAGCGAAGCGCTTGGTCTTTCCAGAAAAGTACCATTATGTTTTCTTTGTTTAGAACCCTCTGGATGGTCTACGAAGTTCCATCTTTATAAGGAATACCTACTGTCCCAAGCTACTCTGTAGTATGCCGTGGTTGAGGATTTAAAATTCGCAGCAACTAAGGTTGCACTAGACGCCTCGCGTATCCCCTACCAAACAATCGGTTCAATGTTTCTTTCCGGGCGGTCTTCCTATCTTCTTCTGCTGTGCACAGGGTCTGGGTTCTGTGAAACAGTAATGAGGCGATTCCAGTATATACATCCGTTGGGTGACCTGACCTATAGCGGAGTACACCGTGTCCGTCGGCCTACGATATCTCGTTGTTTGTAGACTACTTCCATTCTTGAGAACAAAGCGATCAAGGAATGGCAATGTTTCACTGCAAGATTCCAATTACATAGTGAAATGTATAATCTCCACAAGAGTGTTCAAGCGGTTAAAAAACTCGTCTTTCTTATCCCGTTTTACGATAACAAAGATGTCATCCACGTAACGCCATCAAACTTTCGGTGAGCTAAAAGAGTCAGTCAGCGCCCTCGTTTCAAAGTCTTCCATGTACAACTTTTCCAATAACGGGGATAATGGTCATTCCATTGCAAGTCCTTCTTCCTGAGTGTATAATTTAGGTTGGCACGTGAAAGAAGACATATTAAGGCACAATGTGATTCCTTCCGTTATTTGAGCTACCGTAAGCTTCGTCCTCTCTCCCAGATTACTGTCCCCAGTTAGACGATGTTTCGCTATCACCAAGGCATCGCAATTTGGCACGTTAGTAAAGAGCGAGCTAACGTCGAAACTGACCATCATTTCATCCGAATCAATCTCAAGACTTGACACCTTTCTCGCAAAGTCATAAGAGCTCTTTACGAATGTATTCATTTTCATTGCCATGGGTTGCAATACGCTAGCCAAATATCTAGCTACTTCATGTGTCGGGGAACCTATGCCATCCACAATAGTTGGAATGGGTACATCGGACCTATGTACCTTCGGTAAGTCATACACTCATGGTGGAAGAGATGATTTCGGATATATGTTGAAACATTTCCACGGTCCTAGCTGCTCCTTTACGTTTCTTAAGTAATTAACAATCTCTGTCTTCTTCTTATTCATCAATGATATGACGGATTTATTATCCATAAGGTTATATGCTCCTATCACTAGGTGTGCCTCCATTTTTTCCAAATAATCTGACTTCTTCATTATGACTGTGGTTTGGCTTTTATCGGCTTTTGTGATAACAATGCTCGGATCTTCTTTTAGGGCAGTTAATGCGACACGTTCTCCTGGCAAAAGATTCGTCTCCCCGACCGCTAAATTTTATAATGTTTACAAACTCTGCACGAAGTTGCTTAACGGTTGAAGCGGGTAACTTCGTTAAAGCAGTCTCAACATTAAGAATAACTTCTGCGGTTCTTATCTTGGATTTACTGATAGTAAATGTAAAACCCTTCTCCAATATTCTACGCTCTGTCCCACTCAACACTATTTGAAGTAGTAACTAGGTTACAATATCTGCTGCCAACTACAGGGCAGCTAGTTGGGCCGGTGGCCTTGCTACGTACGGACATCAAATGGTGGAACTTAGGGACTTGTCTTCCTTTGGAAGTCATCTCTTGCGTTGACTTAACATCCGAAGCTTTGTTGTAAAGCCTGTCTTAGTGTGTCTGCGTTATGAAGTTATCTGCTTCAACTGTTGAGCAACTTCGTGCAGAGTTTGTAAACATTATAAAATTTAGCGGTCGGGGAGCCGAATCTTTTGCCAGAAGAATGTGTCGCATTAACTGCCCTAAAAGAAGATCCGAACATTATTATCAAAAAAGCCGATAAAGGCAAAACCACAGTGATAATGAAGAAGTCAGATTATTTAGAAAAAATGGAGGCGCACCTAGTGATGGGAGCGTATAAGGTTATGGATAAGCATAAGCTGCTGGTGCGAGAAACCATGGGTTTAGTTCGTGGTAGAGTCGAGGGATGGGCAGTGCTGATGAGTCCAAAGAAGAAGAAACGACCGTCTGGTGCTTTCCTGGATGTGTGGGAGATCAACCGATTTGAAAACTATTGCGAAGAACTCTTGATAAATTACACCAAAAGACCCTAAGCACATGTAAAGAAGGAAAATTGCCAGTCTCATGCCAAACCATACCAACCAGCTGGATGAATAGATATTTAGGAAATGATACAGCGTAGCCAAAGCTAGGGTGAAACGTAACACTGTGCATTTGAAAGCGAAAGGAGTCCGCGAGCCTCTGTTGCTCTTTTAATACCCCTTTCTATGATAATATTGCTAAGCGGAAGACGAAATTTCCACGCTATGTGGTAATAAAGCGGGCGTACATTATTCATAGGTAACTCAAAACAAAATGAAGCCGATTGTTATTAATACAGAAATGTCCATGAGATCCCCACTCGAACTTCATAATGCAGCGGCGGCGGTGATAGATTTATAAGCCCTTACAGGGATTTGGGCCTAAGACCTTTGAGCGTTTATGATTGGTCTTCCATTACGTGTCCAATGCATGGATAATTCCAATTGAATAGGTTACCTCAACGCGGACATGATGTAGTATCTATCTGCTCGATGTCCATCCTTAAGAAAAGCTTTGACCTCGTTGTATCTTACTAGTTACCACAGTCGGTGTAGCGTCAATGTCGAGCTGAGTCGGGATGTCAGACGCCAACTTGGGAACTGCCAAAACCAGATGTTAGCCGTAGTGAGTTGGCGCGTAGCCAAACAGCAGGAAGGAAAAACGCGTAAGAATTAGGGTATATTCAAGAAATGACGTGAAAGGTTTTACAACGTAAGAAGCGCAGGTAGGCGTGCATACGTGCGCATACGAGATCAGTCCGGTTTTCAACAAATGGAAAAAGTACCGCATGTTACTGAATTTAAGCCGACGATTTTTGGACAATTTTTCGTTGCTGTGGAGGCGATGTCGGCTTATAAAAAGGCTATACGGAATTTACGTTACGTATTTACGTTCGGCCATCGGTGCCTTCGCAGTATGGCTCACATATGGTGGGAACACCGTGTGAGTAACGAGCGTGTTCGACGCATTGTTTACGGTCCAGCACCGTTATTTCACGCACCAGGCTCCAATGGCTCGGCCACGTGTTACGCATGCCAGCCCACCGACTCCTTCGAAGTGCGCTGTTTGCTCACCGGGGATGTGGGTGGAAGAAGAGGAGAGGTGGCCAAGCGATGACTTGGTCCAGGGGAATGAAGTCCCTCACTTCGGAGCTAGCCTCGGTTGGAGCGTCACGGCTCCCTGGTTGGGGTCCAAAAGACGAGGAACACGTTTGGCTGGATACACTTGCTGACATGGCAAGGAGCAGACCTCAGTGGCGTTCGTGCTGTGAGTTTCGTTGTCCCTCCCCATCCCTTTTAGCCTCCCCCTCCATCTATGATCTCATTTCCTAGGGTAAAACATAACTTTTTTTTCTTTGTGCCTAGTAGCTGGCTGGAAGCTTACCGAAACGATGCCTATCCGTTGCTGGTAGCTCAGCTGGCATGCAACTGTTGTATCTATTTTCCCTCTGTATATTGTATTATATATATATGTATGTATGTATGTATTTCCTTCACGTATTGCGGCACAATAGCGGAGGTGTTTTCCCACCTCTAGCTGATGTGTATAATGATGATGATGATAAGGAATTTGAAAAAAGTCACATGTAAAATCCGCCCAGGTATTCGCTGTACACCACTGCCCTTATCTCTCGTTAGCACCAACCGCTAGTAACGGATAGTATTCCGGACGGGGATCTGGGAAGTGTTCTACCAGTTTGCGTTTCAAATGGAGAAAAGTAACCGCTTTTTACAAAATCGTTGGTGTTAGAACACATTTAACGGACATTTAGAATGCGGGCAACAGCTTGATGCATTAACTTTTCAATGATTTACCGAAAACATTTTTTGTTTTAAGGAACGATTTCTGCGATTCTGAATATAAGGAAAAATTTTCTGTTCGCGGTCGTAATTGCCTAATTCTAGCTGTGGGGTGCATCATACATGTTTAGTAAGTGGTTTGCAGCTACATACACCCACATCTTTCACTTTGGCAGCCGATCATTCACCAAAGATGTTCGCTTGTAACATTTGCATCCATCGCAACGGAGCGGTTATTTGCGTTCACACACTAAATTTGTTCTCTTATTTAAATCCATACTGAACGATTTTAACTGCAGAAATTCTTTAAAGTAACATAATGTAATTGTGTATTGCTAGAGATGGGGAAACAAATCTTTATGCCAATGGAATTATGCGTTTCTCGTCTATTAGTTGAATTTGAATTTTCATGCTACAAACTGGTGGAATGCTGCCGGGGATCTGAAGTTTTTATAACTATACTTTTGTAGTGAAAATTCCCGGTATATGGTACATTTGACGTTCCCAACGGATGGTAGTAGCGAACTAAAAGCCCTTAAACAGTATGTTATGTCAGGCGATCCCGTGCCTCAATAGTGCAAGTTCATCCCACACTCCTGACCGTGAACTTCGCTCTCACCCACTGCTCTACTGTGGTTCACATGAATGAGGTCGCCGAGTATGCGAGACACATCCCTCACACCTTACCCAATTTGTCGGCTGTCTTACCTGTTCCATGGGACTTGACGTCTGATCAATACACTGGCTGGTGCTGTGAAAAGCTTTGTTCTGACGGTCCAACGCTCCACTAACTGCGAGTAGCACACATTACGGTCACCGAAACTGACCAATAGTAGAACAGATTCCACTTAACTCACTTAAGTGAGAGCAGGCAGTGATGACGTCAAAAGGGTGGAGAAACAATTTCGTTTCACTTTTGCTGATTGTTTATGAGTCGGCTAATGCAGGAATTTAGGACTTTGGACAAATTTGATGTTGCAAAGTTACACTGTCGGCTTATCTATGGACGGGCTCATATTCGGTAATATACGGTAATTGCTGATAACAACTGTCTCACATGCACCATTTCATCATGTTCCCTCGATACCAATGCGGAGGTCATGGCCGCTGGTCAGACATACTAACCGGCTGTTTGAGTAGCGATCTCCAAGCTTCGGAGCAGCCTAAGCGTAACATAGGACTTGCGTTCGAGACAGCTGGTGGTGCGTCGAAGATTCACTGCTGCCGACCTAGAGCAACAAACCGGGACTCGTAATTGCACAAGCCTAGTACGCGACACATCTGGAGTTCAAAGTGGTCAAGAGAAAAGTGCCAAAAGCATTGTATCACACAAGATGGCGAAAGGAAAGTAAGTGGTTAGGCGAAAGAGACTCACTTGGTTGGCGAGTTTGCATATACCCTTAAAGGACATCAAATGATCGTAACCACAGTCCAGTACAATTTTGGTGGAGCAAGGAGATTCGCTCATACTGAGGTAATGGCAAAGCGCTTTGCGCGAAAGCTTAGTTGGCTGCGTGGGACAATCGGACAACCCTGTGTCCTGCATGGACACAACCGGCTGATGTTGCTGTTCCTCCAAGTGACGCCGAGCCTTTTTACGCTCCTTGTATGCCTTGCGAAGTGCACGCCTTGCCTGAAGAGAGTATCAGGTGTTAAAAGGAGCCACACAAACGTCTTTACGATGCAAATAGTTATCCAACCGTTTTCTTCGCTTCTCCTCCAGTGGGTCCACCACGACATTAGGAAAGTCGGACTTCGGAGGAGTGGACAAAAACAAAATGCACATATGTGAATACAATGTGGATCAGCGATGAAAACCAATTAAATGCATTCCATACCAGAAATCATTGCAATGAAACAACTGGAACGAACGTGTGCATGAGGGCACAGAAAAGTTCACGAAGAAAAGATGACTACATGCACAGTGAAGTAAAAAGCTTCTAAATCAATCCATGTGAAATATCATGGATTTGGGTGGATAACCATTAGTATGGAACATCAGAATAAGTCTGTTCTTGTGTGTGTGCTCGTCAGTTTCACATGGCGTGATAGTGGACCAGAACTAATGATTCTACCGCAACCAGTCGAGTGTCAACAACATAACAACAATGTTAACGGTGCACCAGCCATTTGAATTGACGTTTTGCTGCCGTACAACCACTGGAATCAACAGAACGAAGAATAATGCCAGAACGAAAGAAGGGGGCCCAAACGTAAAACCTAAATGCCCTAAGCAACATTCATGGTCAAGGCGCCTACACCTTGTGCCAACAAGACATGGTCACAAACAGCCGACTATGGTGCCAAGATAAGACTCCATCAACTAGATAACTTCTTATGGGTTTTACTACCACCGGGCGTCAAATCATGGACAAACGCACTAAGAAGACAGCAAAGTTAGAGGAATAAAGCATTCGTATATTTGAAAAGTACAACGCGAAGACGAAGGTCAATAGATGCATGCGTTTCGTATCGTCTCTTTAGTACCAAAACGATAGCTGGGAATAAAGTACAGAAGCCAACTGATGCAAACATGCAAACAAACGTAAGAAAAACATGCAAATCATGTTCATACATCCAAAGCAACCTCAGACTGACTGATAGTTGCATTTGAACACACAGCTCCGGTTAGATCCGGCTTGTTTTAACAGCCCCGGTGAAGCGGAGGACACGGGAATTGGCATGCACATCAGAACTTTGAACGACGAGATGATCTCGCTCCAGTAAACTGAGATCACTAAGCGCTTGCCGATCGAAGATGCTGGCGGCCTGTGTGAACGCGTAGCCTGAGCTAGGTATGCTTGTTGAGCCGCCTCATGTTGGATCCACTTCAGAACGTACCGCTCATTCGGGAACTCAAGATCCTATCGGTCCTGCCTATGTAACCGGCTCAGCAGTTACATACGAATTGGTGTATGTAATGGGAGTTAGCCCCCTTGGGCTGAGTTCCCCTCAGTAGAGGCAGTTGCATCTTGTGGGTTCAGTCGATAATGTTGACTTCGGCAGCACAGGTGCTTCATGTGGCAACGATTAGTCGCCTTGGTAGTCCTCAGTGTGTCAATGCCACCCTTAAAGTGAAGCTCCAAGAACATTTTATTTTTAGACAAGGTGGGCATTGGATCTTTTCTTTGGCTGATTTGATTGTGCTTCTCGATGAACCTTCGTATGTAACTGCAGAGCTAGTTACATAGAAAGGATAGGACAATAAGTTCTCGGTTGAAGGAGCACGTTCCAAAGTGGATCCAATACGAGATGGCTTAAGAAGCATACCCAGCTCAGGCTACGCGTTCACACAGGCCGCCAGCATCTTCGATCGGCAAGCACTTAGTGATCTCAGTTTACCGGAAGGAGATCAGTACATCATTCAAAGTTTTGCTGCGCATGTCGATTCCCGTGCCCTCCGCTTCACCGAGGCTGTTACAACAAGCCGGATCTAACCGGAGCGTTGTGTCCAAAGGTAACTATCAGTCAGCCTTAGGTTGCCTTGAACGTAGGGAGGTGATTTCCATGTTTTCTTTCGTTTGTTTGCATGTTTGTATCAGTTGGCAGTTGTAGTTTATTCCCAGCTATCGTTTTGGCACTGAAGAGACGGTACGAGACGCATACATCTGCCGATCCTCATCATCGCATTGCGCTTTTCAAATTGTTGAGGGGAACTAAGTGCTTAAAGTGTATACGTTTACTAATTTAATCCTAAAAGGAACTCTAGTCCCCCAGTACTGTATGCTGCTTCCACATTTTAAGCGAATCCGAAACCACTGAGAAGATGCAAGTGGATGATTATCACGGTGGAGTCCTCAGAAACTCCATCAGTGTTGTGTGGTAGGCGCCTGTATCGAAAGCAGTGGCCACCGCGAGAACAGTCCGTTGGAAATGAACACAAATGGCCAACGCAAAAGAATGTGCAAAAATCAATTACGAAACTACAGCAGCCTAGAACAATCGTGGTCACCGGGTGGATGCCTCCAGGCTGAAAAATGAACCCAAGAGTCAACATTTCAAGGCACCCAATGGAGCCTGGCACATCAGGGATTAGGTTAACGACAAAAAGACTGTAGCGGCTGCCATGTGGTGCGAAGCAGTTGCGATGTCAAACTTCTTTAGTTCACTTCATAACACGCTTAGGACATTGGTGTCCATGTCAAATTAATAGGAATAATAGCAACAATAACAATAATAAGAATGTGTCAGTTGCACGCCGTAACGGCGCTTCGCTGCCTCGCGACCACCACCAGTCGCGCGCGGACTGAGTATACCGCGAGGACGCCCACCCCTAGGCGGATTCAAACCGGTGACCTTATGGTTGTAAACCAAACGCACAGATTACTCGGCCATCGGCCGACTCATGTCAAATTAGTTTAGATTCTAAGAGACCATCGGCTTATTAATTCTATTTGGATGCAATTATAGTGCAAAGTTGAAACAGTCATCAAAACGTGGGGAAATATGCTGGGATGTCGCAACAAAGAGGAAATCTTGAAGATAGGTGTGTCCGTGCGGCATTATCGCAACGTACCGTCATCAGCTAACTAAGTATCCCAAGGCAGCGATACAACGACTCGATTTCCTGCACAAATGTGATAGTTGCTGGTTGTGTGGTAACAAGATCGAAATGCGATGTGGTATCATCTTGACCGGTGGATACAGTTCACCCAAGAAGCCTGTTCAAGGAGAACAGGTTAAAAAGAGTAGGGAACGATCGAAAGTGTTTGCAATAAAGCGTACAAATTGCAAGCCCCATTGCACTCCAATTCAAGTTTGGAGCAAAAGCTGTATTGCTACACAGAAGGCTTGGTGATCTGGAGAGTACCCAACATCGCCCATTACTGATGGAGAAGGCCCGAGTGCCGATTACAGTGCGGTTTACAGATCAAGAAATTTCATGCAGAATTCTCAATTAACAACGTTCAAAGTAGTTAGAAACATTTTAACGGGAAACATCCATTCGGCAAGAGTTGAGGTCTTCCGAGAAGTATTCCGATGCAACGAGTTACGATGTATCAAAATCCGAACTATGATTGAAAAGAGGTAGATGAGCGTAAAGTTTAGAGAGTTGACGGTATTTGTCAAAGTTCAGCAATTGCGGGCCTAACGCTCGATGGCTGGCTCGCAGTCGAAAGCAAAACACGTCAGGCAAACGGAAGACAGAACTGTTTTTTACCCAGCATGTTGTACAACGCATCGATCTAGAATTCTGAATTGGACCAATCGATGAGTGGGTGGGCAACGAATAGGAAGGGCTGAGTACATTGGCCGTGGAAATACCACAGTATTCCACTTCGAGCTCACTAGAATACTGAACACTGAAATTAAAAAGCGATGAAAAATAGATCTGTGTTGCTCCATCATCGTTAGATGTAGCACCTGCGCGGGGTCACGCCGCTGGTATTGCGCGGTAACAGCATAAAACAGCTGTACTACGTCTCATCCGGGTGCGATACGCTCCCTATACCTGTAATCCGCAAAGTGGGCGTCGAGGTACCTCTTAAATTCCGGCACCGATTTTGCCTCAACTAACGTCTCCGGCACTTTGTTCTAATATTTCACCACTCGACGCGAGATGCATAGAGGGATACGCTTCAAATTTGGTAATACCCGTTTTTACCGGTGTCCCCGTGTGCTATTTGGTGCGCGAACGTGCAGCAGCGGTCGCAACATAGAAGAGTGGCCCAGGTGCAATATTCGGGACGTCAATATGAGATCAACTCGAGGCAGACGGTATGACCGGGTATACAGTCCTGGTCTCGTACATCGGTCCTCGTACGACATACTCATAAAGTGGGAATGAGCCGGGTAGCTACATGTTGAATCCGTTCCAGTCTCTGCACCTACCTTATTGTGATCGGACAATAGACTAGTGAGCCATACGTAAGCACCGGTCTTATCATGGAAGAGAAGGAGCGAGCGATAAAATCGTACACGCATCACGCACACACGTGAGTCAAGTTCAGACGCGCAGACAAATTCCATATCGCGTCAGCCAGTTTACGTAGATCACCAAAGCAAGTGGAACCACTCTCGGGACTGTGTCAACAAAATGTAGGAGCAAGTATCAGATACACGGGTCGCGCGATCTGCGAAATAGCTCCACTTCATTTCGCGTCCTGTAAGAGGCCGTTACAGGAGCAGCAGCCTACAAGACGCCTAGAGAATCAAGGCGCAAGGCATAACAGTAACCAAGAGTGATACGAGAGAGGCATTTGTATATGAGATAAAACCAGAAAACAACCACTACCGCTCACCTCATTTGATGGGAGAGGAACATTCTCCGAAGCAGATTCTACAGACATGCTCCTGTGCAAAAAATAAAAATAAACCATGAAGTTACCAAAGGAAAATGAAAGCACAATTACACTTCTTGGAGCAGTAAACATTCGCCAAAATGTAGCATTCTCAAGTAACTTTGTTTGATGAGTAAAGGTCCAAACATGTCAAGTGTAACAGCGCAGAAGCATAGGACTTAACTAGGTTTGGCATAGAAAGTAAATGCTGGGTTTCCGGGGCACTGGTTGTGTGTGGACCGCGATGCATAATTTAAATTCGGATCGCTGTGGTAAACGTTGTCCAACCAACTCGAAAGTGAAGTGATGAGAACACCTGTCAGTAATCGCTGCGCTTGTTGTAACGACCCGGTTGTAACAACTCTCTTAGTCGAAACGAACGAATGATTTGCGGATGGTATACGCGCAACAAAAAGTAGTCGACATAATTCGATTTGCACAATCCGCGAAACCTGGACGCCAAACATTGTATACGCATGAGCTAAAGCGAACGACTGGAACGAACGCGGACCCCACACGCGAACCCGAGTTAGAAAGAGAAAAAAATCTTCGCAGCAGGCGCTTTTATTCGTCTAGCAGAGAGCGAATACAGCGTTGTCCAGCCTCATATATGCCAAGATTGATGGCGTATGTGATTTTGCACAGAGGACGGTCTGCGCAAGCGAGACCAGAGATTAAGGCTTAAACAAACGAATTGGCACAATGTAAACGGAGAGTTTCCGAAACATGAATCTTTGTAGCATAACGCATGCTGGTCGGAAAAAGTGAATTCATTGCGAAGGCTGGCAGGAAAAGAAAACTGAATTCTGATAGATGCGAAAACTGGTTATATTATGTGCACTGGCATGAATGCGAGCGACTGAGCCTTAGGTGATTTCGCACGTGGGATCTTGTGGGGACATGCATTCCCCTATAACAGTTCCACTAATCCGAGCCGAGCCCTCAACTATCTCTACCCAGAAGAGTCCAAAAACAAAAGAAAGTGATCGTGGAGTGTGACAAACGACCTCTAGCACTTATCGAAATGTTGTGTAACTGAGAAAACTTAGGCAACCGATTGCAGGTGATCTGTTGACAATAACATCAATACAGTACCGTATGATCTGGCGTTGTGAATCACACTATACTTCAGAGTGTGTGTAACGGATGGTGTATACAGGTAACCTAAAGAAAAACGAGTGTAGCCGTAGCTACAGACTGGATGTTGTCTGGTGGAATTGCACCCTACGCATAATGTAAGCAGGCCCCAATGATGTCGCAGATATCCTCGTCTGGAGAACACAGGTAGCTTCCAAGGACAGATCGTTAATGCAACCAGGTAGAGTTGAGGTTATGCTAGAAGATGAATATATTCAGCAAGCGTAATGTGTTTGAAATTGGGGGTTGAAACTAAATGCTGATGGAGGATTTTGCTGTGGTGTTGTACGCGATGGAAAAGAGGAAACCATTAAGTTCAGCAGTGAGTAAAATGATTCAATGCGAATAGGCACCAAACACAGGTGCTTGGAAAAAAGAAAGTCAGCAAAACGAACGAGCGTGGGACGAAGCGTCAGTGTCTTAAGGTAGTAAGAGCAGTACGCTGGCCCATCGTACCGATAGTTCGCTGTCACGTGACCACCATCAGTAGCGCGAGGATTGGGTAGGCAACTAGGTCGCCGCACGTACGCGGATTCGAACAGGAGACCTTAAGATTACAATGCAAGCGCGCAGTTCACTCGGCCAGCGGTCGAGCGTATCAAAGTAGAAAATTAAAGGTGTGTCGATTTAAAAAGAGTAGATAAATCACAGCTGCAGTAGGTAAGTGCTTGACTCATAATGATCCACTGCAATGAATCCATCTTCCGCGGGCCAATAAAGAACCATAAGAAAAGGAGTGCGCAGATGTAAGAATAAAAAAGGGACTTACAAGTAGCATCACGTGCCATTTCGATAGATAAAGCAAAGAAACACCGGAACAGCAGGTTGTTGGCAAGTTCAGGAGCACAGCGAAATGTAAACATGCGGGCATAGCATCTCTAACAGTATGGAATTCACTCTGACTTCGTCGTTTAAAGTCTAAGGAAAACACTTGGGCTGCGAAAAGTGTGGTGAAGAATGGTTTAAGATAAGTGGTCAAGAAAGTAAAACTTCGATAAGTTGTGTAAAAGAGCTTGTCGAATTTTCCAAAAATGATAGTGGTGGCTGACAGCCAAGAGCTTGCTAGTAGTAAATGTAGTGTCAAACAGATCGGCTGGACGAATCTCTAGCAAGACAACAGTGTTTCTGAGTGATGATGAGGAGTGCAGTCAGGCCGAATTGATTTCCTCAACTTTGGTATCGACGGTCCACATCAAATCATAGATATGAGGATAATAAGGGAACCAATATCTTAAGCAGTAGTAAGGATTCCTTTGGCAATGGTGGTATGGTAGGCCTCACCATTAAAACACATATATTGCGTTCAACATTCATGCCAATTAAATAAAGAGACTAACTGCCCATCTGTCTTTGGTTTCTTTTCAATACCGAAAAAATCTTCGTACACTAATGAGCCGCTAATGCTTGGAGTACCCAGCTGTTTCCAAATACATGATCCTACTGAAACGGAAGGTCATCATCAAGGCACCTAAGAAGTCTTCATGCCCCTACATAAACGCCGTTTTTGGGTGTCGCACACTGCAAATCACAAGTCCCAGAGGGACCGTTTTACAATTGGAACACTCTTGACAGACTGCGGATAGCGACCTCCGGTCGGTTATTTTGGGCTGTGTTGACAAGATCACTTTGTGTTGACTTTCTGCGTTCATTGGAATATTTCGTGGAAATTGAGATTCAATTCAGTTTCATTTCCGATTCTGAAATTTCCGACCAGAAATACTGGTGTTTTCATCGCTTGGTTTCGGCGATCTTGCTATCGCCATTTTCTCCGTCAATTGGTCGCCATCTTGTTTTCGGATTATTCACAATGCCGAAGCAGTCATCCTGTGGTACTTGCTCCAAACTAGTCGGATACCGTGCAAATGCCCTCACGTGTGTTTTGTGCCAAGTTAAATACCACATTTCGTGTGTTGGATTATCAGTTGACCATTTTCATCGTCTTCGCGAGATCCAACACGATTTCGTCCAAACTATATGTGAAAATTGCCGAAATAAGATACAGCCAGAAAGAGTAAAGCCGACGTGTAGGCCTCAGCGTTTCGTTGCGAACAGCTCCGTGTGTTTGGCCCAACAACCTAGCGCGAAGAGCCTTCAGGTTTCGGCTCAGTCGTCCTCCTCTACCCGTGCAAACTCACCGACACGAAGTCCAACCGTTGTGAGAAGCCCAGTTGCACCTGATCTAAATTGTTTACCTTTGTTGTGTCCAACGGACACTGATGTCCCAGCAGGTGAAAGTCTGAATGCTGAAGACCAGTGGAAAGAACAGAGGACGAAATTACGAAGGAACGTTGGGCGTTTACGTTCTGTAAGTCAACAGTTAGCCAAACCATTTGAGGCTGGTAGTATACTTCGCCCTGCAAGGCCAACCTCGTCCGACCAGAGGCGTTATAATCTCGTGATCTTTCACGCACCGGAGTCCAGTGATCCATCACCCCAAGTGCGCTACAATCATGATGTCGAGTTTTTACAGGGTCTAATTGATAGACTCCTCGACGTTGGTGAGGACTCGGTAAAAGTGAGGCAGATTACCCGTCTTGGAAAGCAAGGTGATCAACAAAATCGGCCTATGAGAATCACTTTTGTGGACGAAGCCAGTCCAAGACTGATCATGTCTCGCCTAACTAGACTGAAAGGTTTGAAAATCCATGTTCGTCCCGACCGAGACCCAGTAGACAGGGAGCGGCTCAAGTCTGCCATCATTGAGCTGAAAAGACGCACTGGTGAGGGGAAAACAAATCTTCGTATCGTAAATTTTCGGGTGGTTTCCAACAATCCGCGAATCAGGATAAACAGGCTGCTCACACTTCAAGCACGCCCGGTGGCTCCTGCTGCGACCTGCGAGTAGCCTTCACAAACGTTTGCAGTGTTACGAATAAGCGCGATGAGCCTTGTTGTTTCGTTGCGTCTGAGCGGCCAGACGTAGTGGGACTCGCAGAGACATGGCTGCATGCAGAGTTATACACCCAAGAACTTGGACTCAACGGTTACTCGTGTTTCCGATGCGATAGACTAAAGAATGCCCACGGTGGTGTCTTACTTTACATCCGGTCTTCCCTGCGTGGGAGACTTGTGAGCACCTACCGAAGTGACGATGGTCTGTGTGAGCTACTGTGGTGCTCCATCCGCCTCAGGCGCGGAGAACTGTTTGTGGGCGCATTTTATCGCAGTCCCCTGAGTCGTTGTTTGGATTGGCTGCCCATTCTTCGGATCCACATGAGTCGTCCACACTTTCTACTTATGGGCGATTTTAACTGTCCTCGAATACGATGGCCTGATGTGCATTTGATGCCTGGACATAGTGAGGTTGAAGCAAAGTTCGTGGATTTGGTACTTGAAACGGGTGCATCGCAACACATATGCCAGCCAACACGCATATCAACACGTTCAACCCCGTCCTGTCTCGACCTGATGTTAACGAGCTACGAACAACGAGTGCGTAACATTAGGATTCTGAAGCCCCTGGCTACGAGCGACCACTCAGTACTGATAGCTGATATGGAATTATCTTTGCCGTATTCACATCCGCTGCGACAAGCTTCCAACTACTGGAAAACGGACTTCGATGGTCTAGCTCGAGCCGCGAGCCAACTGGATTGGTCTCTGTCACAAGCTGCATCTGTGGAAGATTGTTGGATATTTATAAAAGACAGATTGACATCATTGTGTTCCCAATTTGTGCCATTGAAATGTCGAAAGGTTGGACCGATTAAGCCTCATTGGTTTGACAAGGAGTATAGAAACCTGGCTCGGAGGCGGCGCAGACTGTGGGACAAATTCCTCCTCTCTGGCTCTGCCAATGATTACGAAGGGTATAAATGTCAGCGGAACCTCTGCAACAGTGCAAAAAAGAATAAACGCCGACACTTTGAAGAGCAGCTCGCATTAGCCGCGAAAACCGCCCCAAAGAGAATCTTTGCATACGTGAAGCGACGCCTGAAGCCGTCAGGTGATGTGCCAGTGCTGGATGGCACGGATGGACAGCCCCTAACCTCTAGCACTGAGCGTGCGTCCGCGTTGGCGGCGCACTTCGCTTCTGTATTTGCGAATAACCAGGTGTCTGTTCCGAGTTCGACGTGTACCGCTTTTACCGAACTCGATAGTCTGCATTGCGGCGTTGAAGAGGTAGCTCAACTACTCGCCAACCTGGACGGCACCAAACCTGCCGGACCTGATGGGCTTCACCCACTGGTTCTCAAGTCACTTTCAACCATCCTCTCTCCTGTCGTGACTGACCTTTTCAACAGGTCGCTGTCCGAAGGTTTGTTGCCGGTTGACTGGAAATGTTCGGTGGTGAAGCCTATTCCGAAAGGCGGCGACCCTAGCAAAGTAGACAATTACAGGCCAATTTGTCTGACACCTATTTTGGCAAAGGTTGCTGAGAAAATCGTGAAGAAGGGATTGCTGCAATTGCTACAGTCAAACGAG